TACTACCAGTGCGAACTGAAAATCATGAGAGGATTTGCAAAAGAAATCGTTACCAGGATGTTTCAAAGCAGTCACAGAATTAAATGAAAACTTTCTTCCCAAGCCACAAACAAGGCGCTTTAGCTATTAAGCCTCCCTTTCTTTTGGTAGGTCTTATTATCAACGCCGCATAAACCCCTGAATTTTACTAACAGGTCCATACGCGCGTGTGTCTGCACTCAGAGACGGCGCACAAACGCGTGTATCTCTGTGGAAATTGCACGGGTGAACCGTAGACTAGTAAATATCTGAACTCCACTCTCAGATTGTGCTCTGCTTAGTCTCCCATTCTCCCCATAGTTAGGTGTCTCCTTTCAACATCTCTGTCATCTCCATTTGAAGATATTTTCAGCGGTTTATCACTGCCATCTCCAGCCCTGCACATTTGCAGCAGGTTATCACAATTGCCAGTCCCCCCCGGCTGATGTGTTGCGCTGATTACCATCAGTGCCCTCAGATATTTGGTGCGGATTCCCAGCACTGCAATATCCACTCTTAGGACATCTGGAGCAGATCAAAATCACTGACTTCATTTTTTAGCAGAGTCAGTGTTAAAGCTTCACATATCCTCTTCGCAAACATACCCTTTAGTCAGTTCCTGCAGAACCAGCCTTTAGTTAAAATTCGGCCAAGCAGCGACCCCTATGTCTGGATTTGCATTTCTTATCGGACCCCTATCTAAACTGATTTGTTAATAATAAAGAGAAAATCTCTTGGCAGTGGATGCATCGCCTTAAGAAACTGGAAGGATCACGCTGTCTTAGCAAACTCCTTCTCAAGAAAGGCTCTTTAAGGAGAAGTTTATCTGCCCAATGATCTTTGAATTATATGAGCCTGGCCATTTAGGTCGATTTACTTTAAACAGTATACAATTTATTTTAAGCGATTACCTTAGGTATAATGACATTACACCCAGCGCTGCTATATATTTTTCTCCCTCCTGTTTTCAGATGTGCATCCGCTCTCCAACGGAAAGGTGACTCTGCTTTTCACTCTGAGCCCAAATGCTTTTTTGCTACGTGAATGTTTATCGTCTTTAAAAACACCGTTCGGCTAATGAGTTGGCACCGCACTACTTTTTGTTAGATTTTGTCGAAAGTTAAGGAGGCATTCGAGCAACTAAAACACAGTCCTCAGGAAAAAAAAAAAAAAATAAAAGAAGAGATGATTTTTTTTAAATTTTGTTTAAAATTACTTTTTTTTTTTTTTTTTTTTTTTCCGAAAACAGTATTTTATTTCTTCTCTTAACAATTTCAAGTTAATTTACGGATGGGGGGTTGATCACACCAACCTTTTTGACTGTTTAGGTCTTGGATTTAGGGAAAGATTTTCCTGGTGCTTCTGGTAGCTGCTGCTGATGTTTGTAATTTTCCGTACAGTTTCGTTCTTTTCGCACTTTTGTTATTAAGATCCTGCTATAGGTCTTGTATGGGGGGAAATAAACCCACAATCTCCCAGACCTTCACTAAACTGATTTTCAAGCTAAGTAGCTTAGTGTAGCAGCTCTGGTCCCAGCTTACTTGCACAAGAGGTAGTGGTGGTGGTGAAATTAAAAAGGGCTTTGAAAGGTTGCCTATTAAAGTGACTTAATAAACCGTCAGAAAAATGGGCAATGTCCAATGCAGGAGCAGGAATCGCGTGGTAAGGGATTGGCATTTACTGATCAGGACTGTGCATAATTAATGGCTTTCGCGAGACACTGCTCATCCTTTGCGCCGGGAACTTTGCCGATGAGGAACAAAGCTCTCCTCCCAGTCTTGCAACTTTCCCCCTCCTCAGCGGGTTTCTTCCTTCCTTCCTTTCTTTCTTTTCTGTTCTTCCTTCCTATTTTTTGTCCATGTCCTGTTTCTTTCTATTTTTTTTTCCCCCAAATCACTGTTACAAGTAACCTACACTTTGTATTTATTTGCTCTATTTCCACACAAGGTGAAGAATAGCGAAGATCGCCTCGAAAAGATGCTAGGCTGATAGAAAAACAAGTGAGACTTTTTTTTTCTTTCCTTTTCTTTTTTTTTTTTTTTTTAAATTTTATTTTATTTTTTTTCCCCCCTGAACCGATCTGAGCAGGATGGGGGCGGGTGGGGGAGGGGATGACTCACATTTCTTAAGCCTCCAAGTGGAAACCTTTTCTGGATACACATTCCACCCACATCTAAAGCGCTAAGAAGATTTCGGCAGCGTCGGTGCCTTATCCCACCTTTATTTACCTGCAGCCCTTGTAATGTGACACTTCCATTCGCAAAACACCGCTGCAATTTTCAAGCCCCGCTCAGCTTTGTTGCGGCGGTGCAGTTTTGTCTGAGGGTCGCCCTCCTGCTTTGAGAGTGAGATTTTGGAGCGGGGGTAGGAGGGGTTGGGGGGGGGGGGTGTGGGCTGTGAGGTCCTCCTCTCTCTGTTAGGCGTAGGAAGGGGAAAGCTCGCTGTTTCCAACTGATGGGGGAAGGAAGTTTAGCCAACTCTGAGACGGAGCGGTTCCCTGGAGCGCGGGGAGGGAAGGGCTGGCCGGGGGGTTAGAGACACCCCGCAGGGGCGTTTGCGGGAGGGGCGGCATCTCCCCCCGCTCCTGCGGCGGCCAGTCCCCGGCGGGCCCCGCGCTGAATCCGCGGCTGCAAGCTGGGAGACGGGGCGCGAAGCCCCGCGGAGAGGCGCGGATCTCAGGAGCTGGCTCTCGCCTAGGGTTCGGGAAAAAAAGAGAGACACATCCGTGCCCCCCACCCCCCCCCCCGCCTTCTCCCCTCCCTCCCTCCCTCTCTCCCTCCCTCCCTCTCTCCCTCCCCGGTCGAACACTTGCATCCCGAAAAGCAGCGGGCCTTCGCCCCTGCGGCCCCCTCCGCGCCGCGCCGTCCCTTGAGGAAGAGCAACGGCGGCGGCGGGGAAGAGCTCGGCACAAAGACGGAGCTCCCGGGCGGCGGGGACGGCGGCGGCGAGGGCTGGGCTGGGCTGGGCTGGGCTGGGCTGGGCTGGGCTGGGTTGGGCTGGGCTGGGGGCGGCCGCTCCCCGCACCCCTCCGCGGGGCCGCCCGGGGGGGCAACAGCGCCCTGCCGTGCCCTCTCCGCACCCGCGGAGCGGCTGCGCCATCCCCCGCGTGGGGCTGGGAGGGTCGGGGCAAGAAACGCCCAGCTCTCGGCCGGCCGCCGCCCCCCCCGCCTGCCCGTTTCTCCCGGGGGGGGGGTGGGGGGGGGCAGGGGAGGGGGGCTGGGAGGGCCCCGGCAGCGGTAGGGAAAGGAAAAGTTTGCGGTGCCGGGCGGGCGGTGCGGGGTTCTGCCGGCCCCGGTGGGGTACGGGGAGAGCCCCGCCACGTCGAGGAAGCGGGCAACCCCGCGGGCAGGTCACAGCCGTGACCAGGCATCTCCTTCAAGGCGGCCGAGTCCCTCGGTCCCTCGCAGAGGAGTCCTTTGTCTCCCGCTGCACCTTCCACCCCGCTCCAAGGGGAAAAGGGGAAGAAGAAGATATATAAACAAAAAAAAAAAAAAAAAAAATCCCTTCCTCTAATCATTGCTGTTAATAACGATAATGGCAACAGCTCGTTTTGGTCCTTTCGCCACCCCTACCCACCCCAATGCGTTTCCTCCGGTCTCCGGTGAAACGGGAGGATGGAAGTTTTGACAATCTACAAGCCACTCAGCGTCCCCACCCTCCCTCCCCCCCCGCCCCGCTCGGGGGGCGAGGGCTGGGGGTCTTCTGTGCCCCTCGGCATACATGTCTCCACTGTTGATTTGCGGGATTATTTATTGCTAATATTCCGAGAACTGTCGCAATGCCTCTGATAATTGTCCCCGAGTGTCAATCGGTCGGCAGGAGGAGGAGAAAGGGGGGGGAGGATCGCTGCAGGTCCTTTTTTTTTTTTTTTTTCTTTTTCCTTTTTTAACTAAAGATTCTTCTGGGTAGAACTGCTAGGATCCTTTTGACTTTCAGCAAAGTTGTGTGTGTGTGTGTTCGTGTGTGTGTGGCGTTTGTGGGTTGCTATAGATAGCCCGTATTTATTTATTTATATGATTTTTTTTTTCTTATTTTAGTGGTAAATTGTTACAAGTCGCTTGGCTGCACAGCCCCTTTTACGTCTCGCGGCCACTCTCGTTTGTTCCCGAGTCCAACGACGACAAGGGGGACTCAATGTTAAAGGTGGAAAAAACCAGCAACACAGTTGTTTTTGTTAAAAGGGGACACACTAAGGCTGCGAAACAGCAAAACCCCAATGTTGGACAGCTGTAAAATCGTGTAGACAGGTTGTCATACAGCAGTGGGGGCTTTTCTGAAAGGAGCCCATTGCTAAACATTAAATACACACACAGAGCACAGCAGAGCAGCTGCGCGGACACACGCACACGCGCGCACACACGCACACGCACACGCACACGCAGGCACGGAGGAAAGTGGCCCAGGCTGGGCTGTGCACCACGTGCTGCACCGAGGGGGGCGGGTGGGGGGGGGGAGCGCGGGGCGGTGCTTGCAGCTCAAGTGGGTGCCAATCAAAACATCAACTTCAAATTGTATCTGAAAGATCAGCCTAGGACCTAAGGGCAGACACATCAGTTGGAGCTCAATTGTTGATCAGATCACATCTAAGGGATTTAGGAGCACAGAAGAGCCGAGATTTGAGGAAAGACACCCCACTGAATCCTTCCACACTCCTCCTCCTCCATACCTAGGTTGCAATAGATCTCTGACAGAAAGAAACCAGAACGAAAAAAGAAAATTATCGGCTCGATTTCTGTTCTCTCGCCCTGCCTGCCTCCAGTAAAGAGAGAAGGGGGGAAGGAAAAAAAAAGAGAGAGAGAAAGAAAGAAAGAAAGAAAGAGAGATCCAGAGAAGCCCGGGTTTGTTCCGCTCCCCTCCCCGGCTGTTCAGGCTCCCTCCTCCCCCTTCTTTTTTTTTTTTTTTTTTTGTATCATTCCTTCCCCCCCCCCCCCCCCGCCTTTTTTTTTTTTTTTTTTTTTTTTTTTTTTAATATTTCTGCCGCTCCTGCCGCCGCCGCCGCCAGTGCCGCCGCCAGTGCCGCCGCCGCCGCTGTGCCCTCGCCCCGGAGATGTCCTTCCCCCAGCTGGGCTACCCGCAGTATCTCAGCGCCAGCCAGGCGGTGTACGGGAGCGACCGGCCCGGGGTGCTGGCCGCAGCCGCCGCCGCCGCCGCCGCCGCCGCCGCCGCCTCGGGCCGGCCCGCGGGCGCGGAGCTGGGCAGCGGCTCGGCCGCTGTCACCTCGGTGCTGGGCATGTACGCCAGCCCCTACAGCGCCCCTAACTACAGCGCCTTCCTGCCCTACACCGCCGACCTCGGCCTCTTCTCCCAAATGGTGAGTGCGCACCGCGCTGCCTCCCCCGCGCACCCCAACACAGCCCTTCCCCCGCCACCACCACCACCACCCCCCCCCAGCCTCCCCACCCACCGGCCCCGCGGGAACACGGGTGGGAAGAGGCCGCGGAGCCGGGTTCGGGGGGCCGCGGCGGAGAGGGGCCCGTGTGTGCCGGCGGGTCTGCGAGGCGGGGAGAGGGGCCGGGGGGGGCGGCGGGCTCCGGCTGCAGGCGCAGCCCCCACCCGCCCCGTCGCTCCGGCCGGGCAAAACTCCTCCGAGTTTTTCTTCTTGGCGCTGAAAGGGCCGAGCAGGGCTCCTGCCTCCGTGTTGTCGGCTCTCCCTAGCAACTCGGCTTCCACCCCCCCCACCCCCCCGCCTTGTTGTTATTGGTGTAGTTGTTGTTGACGGGTGATATTGTCGGTCCTGTTGTTTCAGTTGGCTCTCCAGCGCGCTCCTCTCTCCGCCTGGTCCTTTCTGTGCCGCCGAGCGAGCTATAAACAGGTTCCGTTCGAAAGGCCAAAGTGCTGTGTCGGTAGCTGATAGGCCCCTTTATTTCAAGACATTTTCCTTAAGCCTTAAAAATGGCCCGCTTCTGCTCCCTGAACTTTTCCTACCCTGATTATGGCGAGTATCATAGATCGGATTTGCATCAAGCGAAGGAGGGCATCTACATCCCATATATGCATCGGAGTAGAAAGCCGTATTGGCGTTAACTCTGAAACAAATTGCCATCACCCAGATTGTCCTCGGATCTCTTTTTTTTCCCTTTTAGAATGTAATGGTTAAAAAGCGAAACATCTTTTTTTTTTTTTTTTTTTTTTTTTTAACAACAACAACAACAAAAAAACCACAACACAACCTAACTGTTCTTATCTCTGATGTTGAAACGTTCTCGTTGCTAGTATCTCCAAATTTCTCGGCGGCGGTACACAGAGGTTCCACTTGGTTTCTGTACGCCCCTCTTTTTCTCTCACCTCCCGATACATAAAAGTGTGAATATTTACAACCGGGTGCACGCAAGGCGTAACTTGTGAGGGTTTTTAATACATACATGCAGGCAAGTGGGTAGATAGGCTGGTCGACAAGGGTCAGCGTCTGAAAAGAGATCGTCTCGTGCTGCAAACATTTCCTACGAAGGCACTTTTAACAGCGTGCATTTCCTACTTTTTTTTTCTTAACCTTGATTTTGGAAATGCTGTAAAAGTTGAGACGGAATCAATGAGTGATTTACAAGTGGCGTCTTCAAAAGAATTCCCAGCAGAGATTACACAAAAAAATATCATTTCAGCAACAATAACAAAAGACAGCGGGATAAAGGGAGTGCAGAAAGCCTACTCTGTAACACATTACAAAAATTACATCGGGCTTCTCTTTGTGTATAAACTTTGCCTCTGAAATTAAAATTCATGCTCCTTTTTAACTGTTTGACAAAGTTAGGTTAGTTTCTTCGCGGACATTTTTGAGGAGGTTCATTTTTAAGGCTGACACAAATTCCACAAGAGTAATACTGTTTCTGGACTAGGAAAAAAGCGAGACTGTAGTAGAAGCAAGGGGGGGGGGGGGGGCGGGAAATAAAACGGCTTTAAATGTTAGCTATTTAGGAACAGTTCCCTTTCCTACTCGCAAAGTATCCTGGTATTTTACCACAGCGATTTACCATGATGGTGATATTTTGAAATAAATTCCAAAATTCCGAGCATTTGTAAATGAAGAGCTAAAATATTAAGTTAATATCTGGACAATTTGCGGTAATAATGAGGCCTAATGAGGTTGCAAGAAAGATAAAATGTTATTTACCAAAACACCTGATGGGATAATTTGACTTGCTGTGTTTTACTACTGATGATAAAAAGAATATTGATTGCAAATAAATCACCGTCTCTAAACGCTTGTAAACAATTTGTGTTTGCTCTGCCCAGATCAAAGTAAAACTTATGAGATAAAGTGTCTGCATATCCATATTCTACAGTGCGTGGATCAGTTCTCATTCCAGAGTTTAAAGGCTCCTCTAACAGTTAGAAGTTAATGTTTTACCCCAGAATCTTAGCGTATGATTTGGGGGGCGGCGGGGGGTGTGCGCGTGGGGGGAAGCTGGCTTGTGTGTGGAAAATCTCTTCCATTCTGAGTGTCTTCAAACTGAAGTTGGGCATTCATGTCCCCAGTCTCGTCTCACGCCAACTCCTTTTAAAGGCAGATCCGGGGCCGAAGCAGAATGCTCTGCATGCATTCGTAATATCCTCCTGGATATTCTGCAGATAAATGCGACGTTGTGCGCAGGCATTAGTTTGTAACTGTGGTGAAGTACCTGCTTTCTCTGCCTGATCATTCCGGGGGCACACAGTAAATTGTCTCGCCGAGGCGAATGCGAAGTTGCTGCATTTCCAGCGTTGACTTGGTTTGAGGGGAAAATACGCGTGCTGTCTGACAGAGCCCAGCTTAGCCCCTCTCTTTTCGTTTCCCTGCAAGAAGGGGGGATCATTTGGGAATACCTCTGTCTGATCTAAACGTGAAAAGCCTGGAGCGGGGAGGGCCGAATTTGACTGTGAAGACCCTTTGCACCGCTCAAAGGCGTATTCCGGCTCCCGGAGTAGCCTATTCAGGTCTGTTAGAGACGCTAACGAGATAATTGATGTGCTTTTTCCTCTCCGCTTGTCTGAATGTGTTGCAGGGCTCCCAGTACGAGCTGAAAGATAATCCGGGTGTCCACCCTGCTACCTTTGCTGCCCACACTGCCCCCGGCTATTATCCCTACGGACAGTTCCAGTACGGGGACCCGGGGCGGCCCAAAAATGCCACCCGGGAAAGCACCAGCACCCTCAAGGCCTGGCTCAACGAGCACCGCAAGAACCCCTACCCCACCAAGGGCGAGAAGATCATGCTGGCCATCATCACCAAGATGACCCTCACCCAGGTCTCCACCTGGTTCGCCAACGCCCGCCGGCGGCTCAAGAAGGAGAACAAGGTGACCTGGGGCTCCAGGAGTAAGGACCAAGAAGATGCAAACCTCTTCGGGAGTGACAATGAGGGGGACCCCGAAAAGAATGAAGATGATGAGGAAATCGACCTGGAGAGCATAGACATAGATAAAATCGATGAGAACGATGGAGAGCAGAGCAACGAGGAAGAGGAGGAGAAGCCCGAGCTCCTGAGACAAAGCAGTGAAGAGGAACACCTGGAAAAGGAGAAGGATTTGGTGCTGTCAGGGTCGGAAGGGCTGAAACCCAAAGACGCGCTGGCCATGGTGAAGGAGGCCTCTGACAACAGCACGCGAATCATCAGTCCCGGGGGACAGAACAACTTACAGATGCCATCTCACAGCAAACCCAAGATTTGGTCGTTGGCAGAGACGGCAACCAGTCCTGACGGTGCCCTGAAGTCTTCTCCCCCTCCGCCCGCTCCTCCCCAGGTTAACCACACTTCTCCACAGATCCAGCACCCCGCTTTTCTCCCTAGCCATGGACTCTACACATGCCAGATTGGCAAATTTCACAACTGGACAAATGGGGCTTTCCTCACTCAGAGCTCCCTGCTAAATGTGAGGTCCTTTTTGGGAGTAAATCACCACCATGCTGCTCATCACAATCACCACCTCCAGGCCCAGCAACAACCTTCTGTTTTAACAGCAACCCTGGGAGCCCTAAGCAGTGAAAAGCCTTCAGAGAGGACCAGTCCCAAACACATAGGTAATGAACGCATCAGGCATCCACCTCTCCCTCCACCCCCAACACACGAACATGAACTTCTCCTTGAGGAACACTGTCAGATTCAGCCCTGGTCTAACTGATTGCTTTTAACGGAGTTACAGACAGTTTACCCTAGCGCTGATTTTTTTTTTTTTTTTTTTTTTTTCCCCCTGGAGCATGTTGATTGCATACATTAAGCCCATTTCATGTGGGCTATTATATTCTCACCCCATATGCCCATCAAATAAGATGAGAATGCGGGAATAATGCTGTGAAACATATTATTGGAGCTTTGCTTTCCTTCCCTCCTTCCTGACCCTCATCTCCCAATAATTTCAATGACAGACAAAAACGTGGCAAGAAAAGCCTAAGTATTCCTTAAATATTGAAAGCAGGGAGTAGTGCTGTACACACACAGAGGTATACCTACATACGTCTGAACAAGAGGGTGAGAGGGAGCTGTGTTCTCTACACACTGTCCAGATTTTTATTGCTGTTATTCTAAAATGGTTCTTCTCTGATTTTTTTTTCTTTATTTTTTTTTTCTCCTTTCTTTTCTTCTGTCTCCTTCTAGAAAGAGAAAATGTACCAAGAACTGAATCCCCACCTCAGCCGCTAAAATCGCCCTTCCAGCCTGTCCGCGACAAGTGAGTTTGTTTGTTTGTTTTCACTGCAGGAATGTTACTTATGTGAAACAGAGTGTTTGAATAATAAAGACTAATTATAACACCTAATCATCACCATAATAATACAGACAGACAACAAGAACAACACAGAAGTTCCTGTAATCTTTTCAAAGTTAGGCTAAATTGCAATTGTACATAGCCAGCCTGTATCTTTTCTGAAACTTAACAGATTTCGAAGATCTTGTGCTAATTACACCAGTGACAATGATTTCTGTGCAATTAACTAATACTAGGATGGTATAGCAATAGACAGGCAATCATAGGAAAGGAATATTTTTTTTTCTGAAAGATTGTTACGTCTTTTTTTTTTTTTTTTTTTTTTTTTTTTTTTTTCCTCCCTTCCCCCCTGCAGCTCTTTGGCTCAGCAAGAGGGAACACCGAGAATTTTAACAGCTCTCCCTTCCGCTTGATTAAATGGTTTGGTGAAAAAATATTACAGAGACTGGTATTAAGGACAGAAAAAAAAAAAAAAAAAAAAAAAAAAAGGAAAGGAAACGATATGAACGACTCCCATCAATCTCTTTTTGCAATAAGGTGGTGCAAATCCATAAAAGCGATTACACAAATCTGTAGATGGATCCCTTTCTTCATTGTACCATTTCAGATCGTGTTATTCTAACCATTCCTGGATTATTTGTTTGGTAAATGTTTCCCATGTGTTTGTGTTTTTTCTGTATATAGAGTGATTTCAGATTGTAAATAGCGCGTCAGCAAAACTTGTCTAAATCATATATTTTTGTCTAATAAACTAAATGAAATTATGAGCTCTCTTCAGGTATGTATTCTGTTGCTGCAGATCTTATACATATATTACAAGTCTATTCAAACATCTATAATTTGTTTTCTAAAAAGCCAAGTCTTTTTGCCTTTGGGTATCTGAAACTTCAAATACCAAATCCAACCTTTTAATGACTCCTGTAGCTGTTCGAGAGCAGGCTGCGAGCTTCCCTTTTCATACATGTAAACTTAAGAACCTGAGTGAAGCTGGTTCTTGACTACTAAAATTAAAGTTATTTTTTCAATTGTGATGAACCAGACGTGCTCTGTAGTATCAATTTTCCGAACATAAATGGATCTGAACTTCCACTTACGGTATAAAATACATTCTTGAAAATGAAAGGGACAAGTTTTCTCACGGTTCCCTAGTGTATAACTTTGCTGTCCAAACCGGTTCCTAAATTGGATCAAGAGCTTTAGCGCTTTGGTATACTTTCTGACCGAAGCCGAAAAATAATAATAAAAAAAAAGAAAAAACAAAAAAAAAAAAGAGAAGAGACTAGGAAATAGAATTATTTGTAACGATTTATACTTTAAATAAACAACAGAGGAAATATGACTGTGAAATATTTTTTCCCTGTGAGATTAAGCACAATTTTAGCAGGAAAAAAAAAAATAAAAAAAATGGCAGCTCTTGCTCTTCCCAGAAGAAAGTTCTGCGATTACGATCTGTTGGTTAAAAAGAGGCTGAGACAATCTATCGGTTTATAAAGGCATTAATCTTCCGAAGACGGTCCGTTAAAATGTGTAATATTTTGAGTGTTTACTTCTTTTTTCTCCTAAATGAGAACACTAAATGAGCATTGAGGTGCTAATAAGATACCAGATGGTTGTTGATGGTGGAAAATGGAAAGAAGCAGCTGGGAAAGTCATTAAGAAATAATGTGGTGACGCCCTATCCAAACTGAACCAACCTCAAACCGGGACTTGTCGGAAACAAGATGAGATTTTCAAATAAAATATTAATAAAATTCTTGTCAGAGATCAGAATATTGATCTTGATTTGGCTGCAAAATGATCGCGAGCAAAGAGGGGTCTCGGTGAACTATCGCTGAGAGATCTGTTGACAAAGCAGTGGAGGCGGTAGACTTCTACTTTTTGCGTTTTTCAGATGCATCAGAGAAACAGATCAGTCGAAACAGATTTTGCGCGGGATAGCTGGAGGGCTGCCTCTGAAAAGAGACTTATTTTGACATGCGGCGGTTCCCAGCATAGCATCAATTGGTTTGCTTTCTGGCTTATAGTTGTTCTGTTTTTCCTTAAATAACAGGCAGTCCCGCGTTGGTAACGGTTCCAACAGAAGAGCGTGTTACAGTTTTAACCAAACCATAATAACTTAGCGTTCAGTGAGGAAAAGGGAGAGGGAAGACGAAGGAAAAAAAAAAGACTTCACGCCTGTGAAGCCAAACGGCGCGTCAGATCAGTGCTGGTGTAAACCCGGTGGAATTGCTTTCGCTTTCCTATCAGTTCAAAAGAAATGGCTGCAGCCAGCCCCGCACCGGCTGCCCCTCGCCCCCCTCAGGCCCGGCTCCCAAATTCCTCACGGGCGGCGCAGCCGGCCCCGAGCAACGCGGCGGTGCGGCCCCTCTCCACAGGCGAGCACCGCTCCTCCGGAGGGGGAGATGGCGCGTAAAAGGCGCGCAGGCGTTGCCAAACGGGCTCGGGAGGAGAGGCGAGGGGAGCACTTGGCGGCTCAGTCACGTCCGAAGGGACTTTTCACTGTGGAGAGCGGAGGAGCGTGAGGGTCTTTGCGCGGGGGGCGTACGCGCGTACCGCCGCCCCGTCACCGCCCGCGGCGGGCGGCGCCGGGACGAGCTGCGCGGTGCCGAGCGGAGCCGAGCGGAGCCGAGCGGTGCCGAGCGGAGCCGAGCGGTGCCGAGCGCAGCCGAACGGTGGGCGCGGGCCGGCTTTGGGCGGGCTCGCAGCGCCCCCTGTGGGCTGCGGGCGGCGGCAGCCCGTGGTGCCGGCCCGCGGCGCGGCTCAGCGGGGGCGGGCAGGGGGGGCTGCTCGCCCTTAATTCCGCCAGAAAGCCAGCAACGGCCTCCGGAGGGTGCTTCCAGTTTGGATTATCCTCCGGAGAGTGGTAATTCCCACCAGTTATCTGGTTGGCAGTTTTCCGCCTTTGGAAGCCTCAGCACCTCTGCTGCACAACTTGAATTTTTTTTTTTTTTTTTTTTTTCATCTGCTTGTTTGAATTTCCCACCTTCCTTTCCCCCGCCCCCCCTCCCAGTAATGCCAACAGTTGTGATGCCTCCCTCCCCAACCAGTTTGAGGGGGCTGAGGCACCCCCGCCCGCGGGGTCAGCGCCGTCCACTGCCCCTCCCCACCGCGCCAGGAGCTTTTGCCGGGGACGGGGCGAAGGACCCGGCTCCTGCCTCCCCCCGCGGCGGGCGAGAGCGGGAGCGGCCCGGGGAGCTGCCGGCCGACGGCGGGGGGAGCGCGCCCGCGGCCGCGGCGCTCGGGCGGAGGGTGCTTGAGCCGCTTCCAAAGTTTCTGGATGGGAGCGCAAGCGGCGTGCCCCTAGGAAAAGGGTAAAGCCGAAAAGCGGCAAGGCCAGCTGCAGCGCTGGGCTGCGAAACGTCGTGTCGTTCGAGCGAGAAAAGCTCTCGCGTGGGTGGCTGCCTAAGCGCCCGGCGGTCCCCGGGGGCCGCTGCCTTAGCCTAGCTGTCACCTGGAGGGGAGAGGTAATTTCGTGTGTTTTAACGGAGCCCGCGGAGGCGGCGCGGTTTAGCGGAGGCTGCCGGCGCGGTGCAGGACCGCGCGGGATGCGCCCACGCCGCTCCCCGCCAATGGACCCCCCCGCGCCCGGCCGCACTCTTCGGAAGGAACGGGGGCTCCGCATTTCCGAGGTTTCGCTTGTCACGTGAGCCGTGCTAGGCATGAGCCTTTACGTCACCCTGGCAGGAAAATAATTTGTAGGTTTTCTGTCATATTTTCCACTTTCATTGAGATCCACCCTGGCAGATGTATACCAGCGAATACCAGAGGGTAGGGAGAATAATAAAGGAGAAGCTTAAGCTAAACGACTTGCCTTAATTGGGAATGCTTCGAGCTGATAAGAGTAAATTGGAAAGTCCTAGTTTCCTTTTTTTTTTTTTTTTTTTTTCCTTCTTTCTCTTTCCCCTGCGATGACGGTACCCAAACCTGACAAAGTCAATAGGAACATTTGCATTGAATCGAATGGGAGCTACACCGAGTAATATTTCTTTTGGAACAACAACCGAGCGCCAAAATACATTTTCGTGCTATTTAAAAGGGTGGTAGAAAACATTTTTCATACATCTCTGCACAATCCTCCGTCCTCCCCCAGTAAAAATTGTCTGTCTCGTTTCTGTTATTATATACTTAGCATTAACAGAAGAACGGCAGAAATCTGTGAAGAAAGGACACTGAAAAGTTGACACAATCTCGAGTTCGGCAAACTCCCAAATCAGCAGTTGCCAGAGCACGCTAAAAGCAAACGGCAGCTTTACGGGGATTTGGCTTTGTCACAGAGACGTAGTTATGAAACGTGCTCATTGGTATGCATGTCTTTTTTTTTATTATTATTATTTATTTATTCTTCTCCTATTTTGTTCTGAAAAGTCTATTTTTAACTAGGGAAGAAAAAAAAAAAAAAAAGGCAGCCCAGAAAAAGGGAACGAGAAAATCGGTAGGGTCCACGTGCTTAAAGTGGCCCGTTCCTATGACGGCTAACGCCTTCCCGGCTCCCGCCGCCCCTCTCCGTCTCCTTGGCTGAGTTTTTGACGCGCCCGCCCCGAAATCGGAGGAGCCCCGGGGCCGCCCCCACCCGCCGGGTCCCGCCGTGGGCTCCGCACCGACCCTCGCCGCGGGGCTCCTCGGATCGCCCCGGGAACTTTCCTTGCGTGACCAAGTTTCCACACCACAAACACCGTCGTCCCCCCCCCCCCCCCCCCCCCCCCCCCCCCAAAAAAAAAAACCACACCCCTCCAGCTTTTTTTTTTTTTTTTTTTTTTCCATGGGCGCCGATCAATTATTCACGAGCACATTTATCTCCCCTGCAATATGGCGAATTCATATTCATATCTCTGTTTTAGTGGCCTGACACTGATTAATGTAATACGCACCGCGGCTCCGAGCGCAGCCCTGCGCTATGAATCATGCCCTATAAAGTTTCAATCGTCCTTGTAGATGAGACTATTACAAAGAGCGCAGAGCGGGGGAGGCGGGGGACGTGGCTCTTCGCCGCTGCCGGCCACCGGCCCCGGGTTAAACCGGCTCGGATTGAAATAACCCGGCGACGGATGGCGGACAGCGCCGGCCCGCCATTCCGGGTTCCGCCCGGCGGGACGCAGCTCCCCCGCCCCGGTCGACCCCGGCCCCGGCCCCGGGGGCCTGCCTCGCCCCGCGGCCAGGCGGAGGCGGGAAAGGCTGCGCTGGGCGGCCTCGCCTCGGGGGGGGAGAGGTGCCCGCCATGTCGGGTGGGCGCCCCGGGGCGGGGAAGGGGCTGAGGCCGAGCCGCGGGGTGCCCCAGCCGGCCTGAGGGGCCCAACCCGCCCGAGGGCCTTGGGCGTCGCGGGCAAGGCCGGGCGCTGCGCCTGGGGAGGGAAGGTGTTAAAGGAAGTCTCCACCGCCTGGCTAGTTCCAGTGCTGGGAGGATTATTTATTTATTTATTTATTTTTGTAGTTTTATTTTTTTAATTCCCAAATGTCCTTAAAAGGCAAGGTGTAAAGACTGGCCTGCGCTGGTGGAGGCATGCTGGGGAGGCCGTCGTCACACAAGCAGCGGCGGGGAAGGGCCGATGCTTGCAATAAGTGCTCTGTGAAAGGGAGCCTCGCATCGTGGGTGCTGGCACGCGTCCTCCTTCCCCCCTCCTGCCCTGGGCTCAGTTCGGGGGTGAGAACCCTCTCCCCGCCATCTTGGTGACCTCCCTTGTGCCCAAGTCCCGGTTTTGGTGCTGCCCAGCTCCCTGCTGGCCGATGGAGGGGAGCCCCGGGCCCCCACGTGCCACCAGCAAGCCCCCAAACCCAGCTGCCCACCATGGGACACACAGCTGTGGCCGAAATTGGTTGGGGCAGGTCCCTGTGCCCACTGCCGGCTCCACGGGGGCTGTGGTGAGGAGGGACGTGGGGCCCGATTCCAGGTTTCGAGCTGCCGAGTTTTACGTTTCAGCAGTAAATCTTACCTGGGACTAACAAATCGAGTAAAACACTGGAACATGTAGTAAACGTGGCCTGCGTGGTGTGTTTTCCAGTGAAAAGTTACAGGAATGGCTCCTGGCGAGGTTGGTGTTCCCCATTGTGCGGTGCCCCCATGCAGTGCCGTTCATAGCTTGCCTGTAAAACCAGCCATGTGGACAGGAATCACTGGAAGTACCAGGAGACTGAAAACCCCATAGAAATAGGTATTCAAAATTTAAGACTTAGAAAATATGAGCTCTTAAAACTAAACAATGTACTTCTGTGAGGAATTAATTTACTCGAGTCCCCCGTCACCATTATTAATATTATTTTTGGCTTCTCTTTTGTGCATGTGAAGAGAATACATGCATGGGTGTTTGTAAAAAAAAAAAAAAAAAAAAAGTGGGGAAAAATGCATAATTTATCTGGTTTTACTTACTTTAATTAGCATTACAGACATCCTTCAAGTCTGATAGCTAAACTTGCTTCCCAACACGTTCCTCGGGAGTCAAGCTAATGCAGAAATGCAAACGCAGGGCGCACACCAAGTCCTGGTAGTGCTTCTCCTGAGAGAATAGAAAGCGCCGGCATAAACTCTGTGCAGAATTAAAGGCAAGTTTAAAAAGTAACATTTATTTTTATTCCAGATTTATGGCTGACCCGTAGATAATTAAAGGTTTTATTTTGAGCTGCTGGCCCCACACAATACATTGTCCTTTGTTGCTGCACAAGTAGTGCTTTCCCTGTGCTGCCTACGGTTCAAAAACAATGAAGCAATCCATTTATTTTGTTGGTCAATTGTAGCACAAAGTGAGGTGGTCAGTGTGGAAAGTTTATCACTGTCT